GGCGCCGGGCCTGCGCACGAGCGGAGGGAGCCGGGAGCGCGGAGCCGCAGGGCGCGGTCCTCGGGGACCTGGGGCCTCGCTGCCTCCCCTCTGGGCCGCAGGCACCGTGCTGGCCCCCGGGTGGCTCCGGCGGCTTGGGGTTCCCCCCTGGGCAGTGCGACCCGGGGGATGAAGATTCTGCAAAGGGATAATCTATACAATAACCAGGGTATCCAGGGGCGACGCGAAGGTGACGCCGACCCCTGGGTCCCCTCGGGCACCGGGCAGGGCCCAGTGCCCTTCTTGGGGACGCTCAGACCTGCCCTCAGCCAACAGGGACAGGCTGCTCTTGAGTGTAGGACTGTTGTAGAAAACAACCTATAAAAGCCCGCCTTGTTCAAAGAAAAAGATTGGTTCTATACCATAAAACTGCCACGGGTATTTCTGGTCATTAGTAACATGCCCAGAGTTTGCCCCCAAACACAACAAAACAGCCCTGTAGGGAGCCATTCTCCCTCAGTCAACTTGACACTACTCAGGAAGGTTGATGGATGTAAAGGGTTTCTAGTTCAAGGCTGGCTTCTGAGGTGTTAACACCTCTAGCGATCACAAGCTGATCTTGAGATTCTTTTAATTTTAAACAACTCTCCTATGTTTTCATTTCATAACTTGCCTACAAGTGAAGGAAACTGTAGTAGTCTTATCATTTTTACTTCCCTTCATAATCCCATCTTTTTAAGTTTAATAAAAAGAAATACAATATTAAAAGTATGCCTCACTTACTTTGGGCACGTGACCAGAAGAGATCGGTCCTTGGAGAAGGACATCATGCTCGGAAGGGTGGACGGACAGTTCAGGAGAGGGAGACTCCAGGTGAGATGGATTGATACAGTAACTGGGACGATGGGAGTTGGTGTGTCAGAATTAGTGGCACTGGCTCAGGACAGGGCAGGGTTCAGAACTGCTGTACACAGGGTCGCTATACATAACAATGACATACTATGACAGGTTTGGAAGCAGAAGTGCCATCCACTTCCTAAATAACATGCCTCTGGAAACTCATGAACTTTGATAAATGTCGATAATGGTAGGGCTTCAGGCCTTTTGTTCATAGGGTCTCTTTGAGTCGTCCTCAACTTGAAGACAACCAACAACAACAACAGCAGTAATTTTGCACTTAGACTCACCCCAGCCTCATTTCTTTCACCAAATCCGACTGTCCTTTCTTTGTCATTGTTTCCAACTTGTGAAGTCTTTTGCTAGGAAATTTGGGAGACAGCTGCCTGGCTGGCTGAGTGGAAGAGATCCATGTTTGTTCTCATTTCCCAAAAAAGATAATCGAACAGAATATGGGCATTATCAGACAATATCATTAATATCCATGCAAGCAAAAGAGTGATGAAGATTATTTTTAAATGGCTGCAACAGTACATAGAGAACTACCAGACGTTCAAGGTGAGTTTAGAAGAAGCCTTGGCACCAGGAATAACACGCCTGATAGCAGATGGATCCTGGCTGGAAGCAAAGAATAACAGAAAGATGTCTATTTGTGCTTTATTGAGTATGCAGAGGCATTGACTGTGTGGATCCCAACAAATTATGGCTAACACTGAGAAGAATGAGAAGTCCAGAACACTTAAAACATGTGTAAAACCTATACCTAGACCCAAGAAGCTATACATTGCTTAAAATTAAGAAAGGTGTAAATCATGGTTATATCCTTTCCTCATATTTATTTAATATGTATACTGAACAATTATTTGAGAAGCTGGACTTTATAAAGAAGAATGTGGCATCAGGATTGGAGGATGACTCAAGAACCTTTGTTATGTGGATGACACAACCTTGCTTGCTGGGAGTGAGGAAGACTTGAAGCATTTGTTGTAGAAGATCAAAGACTGCATACAGCCTTCAATATGGATTGCATAGCAATTCAAATTAAACAAAACTCTTCACCAATGGACAAATAGGCAAGATCATGATTGTTGTTGTTATGTGCTGTCGAGTCCTTTTTGACTCATAGCGACCCTATGTACAACAGCCCTAAACCCTGCTCTATCCTGTGCCAATTGCATTGCCTCTGACACACCCATCCTGATTGCCCCAGTCACTGAATCAACCCACCTCATAGAGGGTCTTCCCTCCTGCGCTGTCCCTCTACTCTACCCAGCATGGTGTCCCTCTCTAAAGACCTGTCTCTCCTTACAACATGTCCAAAGTATGTCAGACGAAGCCCCAGAATCCTTGCCTCCAAGGAGCAGCCTGGTTTTAATCCTCTCTACAATGAATCTGTTTGTTTTCTTGGCAGTCCATGGTACATTCAATACTCTTCTCCAGCACCACAGCTCAAAGGCGTCAATTCTCCCTCTATCCTCCCTAGTCATTGTCCAACTCCCTGCTGCATAACAAGTGATTGCAAAAACCATGGCCTGTATCAGGCGGACCTTAGTCTCCAAAGAGACACTGTTGCTCGTGAGTACTTTAGAGAGGTCCCTAACAGCAGACTTTCCCTTTGCAATACGTTTTTTGATTTCCTGTCTGTTGGTGCCAAGAGTGTTGACCGTGGAGCCAAGCAAACTGAAGCTGTGAACAATCTCAATTTCTTCGCCATCCATCCTGATGCTACCGGTTTGCCCAGTGGTGAGAATCTTTGTCTTCTTGACATTGAGACTGTGGACAACGTCATTTTACTTGGATCTACAATCAGTACACTTGATACCAGCAGTCAGGAGATCAGGAGACATATTGCACTTGAAACATTTGCAATCAGGGAACTCTTCAAATTATTGAGGAACACGATGTCAGTTTGAGGACTAAGGTATGTCCAATTCAGACTATGATCTTTTTAGTTGCTTGTGCAGATGAGAGCTGGACAGTGAATAAATATGACAGAAGAAGATGCATTTGAACTGGGATATTGGAGAAGAGTGCTAAATATTCCATGGTTCTCCAAAAGAGCAGGGATGTCTTAGAGAAGGTGCAGCCAGAGTGCCCTTTGGAGGCAAAGATGATAAAGCTTTGGGCATGTTGCTCAAAGAGGCTGTTCCTTGAAGAGGGACATCATGCTTGGGAAGGTGAAGGGATGTGGAAGGAAAGGAAGACCCTCAACCAGGTGAACTGACACAGCAACTGTGGCAATGAGCTTGAGTGTGTCAGAGACTGTGAGGAGGCACAGGATAGGACAGGGTTCAGATTTGCTGCTCACGGGGCCACTGTGAGTCATACTCGACTCGATGGCGCCTAACCACAACAGACTCATCTTCACCGCGGTTGAGTCGATTTCTGCTTGAACTCATAGAAATCTCTGAGATTTCTGAGGAGGCTGATCTTGAAAAGAAAATGCTTATCTGCATGCTCGCCACTGGGCAGCACAATGCCTTACAAACTGTGCCACCAGGGCTGCATTGCACAGAGTGATGAACCCACTTAGCTTTAAGAGGGTGAACTTGTGATCTTAATATCTTTGATTAAGAGATTTTCACAATTTTTTTGGTATTAATAGTTTCCATGTTTTGTGCTTTTTAAAGATATCTTTGAAAATGCCTCTCAGGCTGATCTAAGCCTTGAGAAACAGCATGCTCATTTATCTTGTAGCTCAGTTACCCCTCAAATTACACCCCTTCCAATGCAAATGTCTGTCTTGAGGAAGTGCAACTAGGGTGCTCCTTAGAGGTAAAGGTGGTACTTTGGACATGTTGTCAGGAGGGGTTAGTCCTTGGCGAAAAGAAATGATACCGGGAAAGGTGGGGGATAAGAGAAAGAGGCAAGACCTTCAACGAGATGGATTGACACACTGACCCTGGGCTCAAGGACGTCAGAGATTGTGAGGATGGCTCAGGACACGACAAGGTGCAGATCTGTTGTTCATAGGGTTCTCCACGAGTGGCTGTGGACTCAGAGGCACCTAATAATAATAACTACTACAACAAAGTTCAAGTGCAGTGGTCTGAAGTCAGCTGTGAATCCAAAGCCTGGTATTTCAAACCCATCCAGCGTCTTTGCGGAAGAGCCCTGGCTACCTGTTCCAGTAATATGTAGGTGTCATCCAATTCACTCCTACTCATGAGATTGTTAACAATTATAGCTCGCGTGGCTCCACAGTCAACACTCTTGGCACCAGCAGTCAGGAAATCAAAATATGAATTGCACTGGGAAAATCTACTGTCAGGGACCTCTCAAGAGTACCAAGAAGCAACAAAAAAGTGTGCCTAATCCAGGTCATGGTCTTCACAATCACTTGCTATGCATCAGAGAGCTGGACAATGACTAAGGATGACAGAAGAAGAATTGATGACATTGAGTTGT